GAGTGTCTGTTAAATGACTAAAATGTAAAATGGGAAGTAAAATGATATGATGCAATGACTTTGCTCATGACGCACGTCACAAATGGCATGTAACACCCTGAGCGCATCGGACACAAAATACCAATACAAATGTAACAGCACAACAAAATAAACACGTTTTTTAAAATTGTCTTTCAAGGGTGCCTGTTCATTATAGGGTAGACACTTGTGGTTTTGCTGAACCAATCAAAGCAGTGAAGCATGTAGTGAAGCAAGATTTTAGTAGTCAAAGCCATTTATCTTTGGGCGATAGGGGGGAGCAGGGTTGCAAAATGCCAGGTAAATCCTGCAGTGCCAGACGTGTCCCCCTGCTTAAGCCAGTACATGTCCAGGCCCGTCTGAAGTTTGCTAGAGTGCATTTGGATGATCCAGAAGAGGATTGGGAGAATGTCATGTGGTCAGATGAAACCAAAATATAACTTTTTGGTAAAAACTCAACTCGTCGTGTTTGGAGGACAAATGCTGAGTTGCATCCAAAGAACACCATACCTACTGTGAAGCATGGGGGTGGAAACATCATGCTTTGGGGCTGTTTTTCTGCAAAGGGACCAGGACGACTGATCCGTGTAAAGGAAAGAATGAATGGAGCCATGTATCGTGAGATTTTGAGTGAAAACCTCCTTCCATCAGCAAGGGCATTGAAGATGAAACGTGGCTGGGTCTTTCAGCATGACAATGATCCCAAACACACTGCCCGGGCAACGAAGGAGTGGCTTCGTAAGAAGCATTTCAAGGTCCTGGAGTGGCCTAGCCAGTCTGCAGATCTCAACCCCATAGAAAATCTTGGGAGGGAGTTGAAAGTCCGTGTTGCCCAGCGACAGCCCCAAAACATCACCGCTCTAGAGGAGATCTGCATGGAGGAATGGGCCAAAATACCAGCAACAGTGTGTGAAAACCTTGTGAAGACTTACAGAAAACGTTTGACCTGTGTCATTGCCAACAAAGGGTATATAACAAAGTATTGAGAAACTTTTGTTATTGACCAAATACTTATTTTCCACCATAATTTGCAAATAAATTCATAAAAAATCCTACAATGTGATTTTCTGGATTAATTTTTTTCTCATTTTGTCTGTCATAGTTGACGTGTACCTATGATGAAAATTACAGGCCTCTCTCATCTTTTTAAGTCGGAGAACTTGCACAATTGGTGGCTGACTAAATACTTTTTTCCCCCACTGTATGTATCTGTCTCTCACCAACAGATGCATAACTGATTTCCTTATATGAACTAGTATTGAAATTGTTGCATGTTGCATTTTATATTTTTGATCAGTGTATATTTTAATGGAGACAATCTCAATTAATTAAAATTGACAAATTATTCAATGGATTGTTAATTTTCTGGTAAAAAAAAAGTGGAGGTGTAAAAACACAAATTTGCTGAAACGTATAGGCTAGGTGAAACGATGTTTTGCTCAGTTGCGTCGCGCGAAGAGGAAAAACTTTTCAGGTGTATCTGATTAATGAACAATGCCAATCTGGTGGGTGGTAACGTTAAAATAAAATCTATCCCTGAAAATAAACGTTGACTGAAAGGTATTAGCACATCATACAATAGGGGAAACACATGGCATTGCCACGGAAAAGTCCCCACTTCGGATTTCCCACTTCAAGCCCAAATACAGTGCATTCGGAATGTATTCAGACCCCTTCACTTTTTCCACATTTTGTTACGTACATCCTTATTCTAAAATTGAGTAAATAAATACAAATCCTCATCAATCTACACACAATACCCCATAATGACAAAGTGAAAACCATTTTTAACAACGTTTTGCAAATGTATTGAAAATAAAAAACAGAAATATCTTATTTACATAAGTATTCAGACCCTTTGCTATGATACTCGAAATTGAGCTCGGGTGCATCCTGTTTCCATTGATCATCCTTGAGATGTTTCTAAAACTTGATTGGAGTCCACCTGTGGTAAATTCAATTGATTGGACATGATTTGGAAAGGCACACACCTGTCAAAATAAGGTCCCACAGTTGACAGTACATGTCAGAGCATAAACCAAGCCATGAGGTCGAAGGAATTGTCAGTAGAGCTCAGAGACAGGATTGTATCGAGGCACAGATCTGGGGAAGGATACCAAAACATGTCTGCAGCATTGAAGGTCCCCAAGAACACAGTGGCCTCCCTCATTCTTAAATGGAAGAAGTTTGGGTCCACCGAGACTCTACCTAGAGCTGGCTGCCTGGTCAAACTGAGCAATAGGGGGAGAAGAGCCTTGTTCTTGGGTGACCAAGAACCCGATGGTCACTCTGTCAGAGCTCCAGAGTTCCTCTGTGGAGATGGGAGAACCTTCCAGAAGGACAACAATCTCTACAGTATTCCACCAATCAGGCCTTTATGGTAGAGTGGCCAGACGGAAGCCACTCCTCAGTAAAAGGCACATGACAGCACACTTGGAGTTTGCCAAAAGGCACCTAAAGGACTCTCAGACCATGAGAAACAAGATTCTCTGGTCTGATGTAACCAAGATTGAACTCTTTGGCCTGAATGCGAAGCGTCACATCTGGAGGAAACCTGGCACCATCCCTACGGTGAAGCATGGTGGTGGCAGTATCATGCTGTGGGGATGTTTTTCAGCGGCAGGGACTGGGAGACTAGTCAGGATCGAGGGAAAGATTAACGGAGCAATGTACAGAGAAATCCTTGATGAAAACCTGCTCCAGAGTGCTCAGGACCTCAGACTAGGGCGAATGTTCACCTTCCAACAGGACAACAACCCTAAGCACACAGCCAAGACAACGCAGGAGTGGCTTAAGGACAAGTCTTGGAATGTCCTTGAGTGGGCTAACCAGAGCCCGGACTTGAACCCGATCGAACATCTCTGGAGAGACCTGAAAATAGCTGTGCAGCGACGCTCCCCATCCAACCTGACAGAACTTGAGAGGATCTGCAGAGAAGAATGGGAGAAACTCCGCAAATACAGGTGTGCCAAGCTTGGAGCGTCATACCGAAGAAGACTTGAGGCTGTAATCACTGCCAAAGGTACTTCAACAAAGTACTGAGTAAAGGGTCTGAATAGTTATGTATGTGAGACAGTTCAGTTTTTTATTTGTAATACTTTTGCAAAAATGTATAAAAACCTGTTTTCACTTTGTCATTATGTGGAATTACTCAGTACTTTGACAACTGTGAGACCTTATATAGACAGGTGTGTGGCTTTCCAAATCGTGTCCAATCAATTGAATTTACCACTTGTGGACTCCAATCAAATTGTAGAAACATCTCAAGGATGATCAATGGAAACAGGATGCACCTGAGCTCAATTTCGAGTCTAAAAGCAAAGGGTCTGAATACTTATTTAAATAAGCTTTCTGTTTTTTATTTTTTATAAATTTGCAAAGAAATTCTCAAAACCTGTTTTTGCTTTGTCACTATGGGGTATTGTGTGTAGATTGCTGAGGATTTTGTACTTTTTTAAAGCCATTTTAGAATAACGCTGTAACAAAGTGGAAAAAGTTAAGGGGTCTGAATACTTTCCGAAGGCACTATATATACATATATATATATATTTCCTGAGCTTTCTTATATCAACACCTTGTTTCTTATTATAAATTTTTTGACTGTCCTTTTTGCCGTTAATGAAAGTGTTATTCAATGCGTTTCTAAGGCCAAAATCAATATTACATCTTTTTTTTTTTATACCTAAAAGGTCCTACAATTCTACATCAAATAGCTAAATGATCCATAGTATGACCATCTTAAAACAATTTAATATGTCAGCGTAAAATATTTTCTTCCTTTGGCTCTGTACTACAGCACATTTAATTTTAAATGATACAATTACCATGAGGTTATTACAATGCATATTGGTTGAACCGTTTAGAAATTACAGCACTTTTTGTACATAGTCCCCCATTTTAGGGGATAAAAAGTATTGGAACAAATTCACTTGTGTAATGTAGTCAAAAGTGTAGTATTTGTTCCCATATTCCTAGCACGCAATGATTACAAACTTGTTGGATTCATTTGCTGTTTGATTTGACTGTTTCACATTATTTTGTGCCCAATAGAAATGAATGGTAAATAATGTATTTTGTCATTTTGGAGTCACTTTTATTGTAAATAAGAAAATAATATGTTTCTAAACACTTCTACCTTAATGTGGATGCTACCATGATTACGGATAGTCCTGAATGAATCGTGAATCATGATGAGTGAGAAAGTCACTGACACACATATCATACTCCCAAAACATGCTAACCTCTCACCATTAAAAAACAGGGAGGTTAGCATTTTTGGATGGGTATAATATTTGTGCTGTAATTTCTAAACAGTTCACCCGATATGGATAAAAAATACCCTAAAATAAAAGCTGGAAGTGTGCACTTTAACCTCATAGTCATTGTATCATTCAAATCCAAAGTGCTGGAGTACAGCACCAAAACAACAAAAAATGTGTCACTGTCCCAATACTTACGGAGGGCACTGTATTTAAACGTAGTTTCCCTTTCACCATGTAGTTCACGTACAGTACTGTAGTCATCTCTTGATTTTGCTTCCTGCAGTACCTGTCTGCTTAACTCTAACTGCTTAAGAATAACTGCACATATTGCAAATAATGTCCGATGCTTAGGTTAAAACGTTATTGCATTTTTACATTACATTTACATTTTAGTAATCCAGAGCGATTTACAGTAGTGAGTGCATACATTTTCAAACTTTTTTCATACTGGTCCCCCGTGTATATCACCAAGACCTGCTTAGGAAAACAGTCCTGTGGCATGAATGAATGTTTTATGCTTTTATTTTATCACTTCATCCTTTTGCCCCTAAGATGTTGCTTATATTTCTATTGAATCCAGCCTGCCTACTGTATGTGTTGGGTGGATGATTGCTGGTGATGGAACACTGAAGCTAGCTAGATAGATACACTAATGATAACATGACATCTTAAATGGGTCATTTGAACATCAACCTCCCCTCTTTAATGCTGGTGTTAAACATGGCCATTCATTACAGTTGGTCCAGAAAACACAAGAATGAAGGTGACCCCTCTAGATGTACTGTATGGATCAGGGTCAAACCTCACTCTGTCCTGCTCCTCTGAGTCCAGTCCTCCAGCCAGTTTCAGTGGGCTATGAATAGAACACTGCTGTCCAATAAGGGACCAGAACTCAGGCTGGAGAACATCCAGGCCAATCAGAGTGGTAGCTACAGCTGCTGGGCCCATAATACCAGAACCCTGAGGTACCAGACACCTGAGCCCTCTGACATCACTGTGCTGGGTAAGTGACAGAGAGGAGAAGGAGACAGTCATGGGAGGAAAGAGAGAGACTGGTTCTGGGGAGTCATGGCTGAACTGACTGAAATGTTTGAGGTTTGTGCTCCAGTCCTAGAGACATCTTTGTCCTTTTCCTTACAATGTGTACATTTGGCGGGTAGCCTTGTTCTCCATGAAGTAGAACAGATAGTCTCTTTCAACAGAGAACCTACATATGAAAAGAGAGACCTATGAGTGGCACGTGAGACAAAGCAGATGGCATTGGATTATTAGCTGATACTGTACTGAATACTGCATATGGGTTATTCCAAGCAGGGTTGGTTGCTCTGGTTGTGAGGACATTTTCTGTGTGAGCATTGTATGTAGTAACTGACCATTGCTCTTTTTTAAAAACATTCTAGTCATTTAGCAGATGCTCGTATGCATACGTTTTGGTACTTTTTCATACTGGTCCCCCGTAGGAATCAAACCCACAACCCTGGCATTGCAAGCACCATGAAGAAAAAGCAAACCACATAACACGATCACCTCTTTGTTACCAATGGCCTGAATAGTATCCATATGGAGGAGGATGAACAGATAATCAAGGAGGTGTTGTCATAGCTTTGAGAGCTCTTCCGCATCGATTACACTTCTAACCTTAATAATTTATTCACATTTTCCATATACTGTACCATGTGCAGGCTTACTTTCTTTATCATACACAACCTTTACAGTGTTGCATGTCATTGATTATTTCACGTGTGCTCATCGTGTCTTCAGGAAACTGTTACTGTTTGACAAGATAATATATCATCTATACTGAACAAAAATATAAAAGCAACATGCAACAGTTTCAAAGATTTGACTGAGTTAAAGTTCATAGAAGGAAATCAGTCAATTGAAATAAATTCATTAGGCCCTAATCTTTGGATTTCACATGACTGGGCAGGGGCGCAGCAATGGGTGTGCCTGGAAGGTCATAGCCAGGCGCAGCTAATCAGAATGAGTTTTTCCCCACAAAAGGGCTTCATTACAGACAAAAATAGTACAGAATAGTAATGATCATGCTGTTTAATCAGCTTCTTGATATGCCACACATGTCAGCTGGATGGATTATCTTGGCAAAGGAGAAATGCTCACTAACATGGATGTTGTCACGTAAACGCAGGGAGTAGAAGCATGTGCAGAAGGAGAGTTTAATAACAATGATGCCAGGCAAATGAACAAAACAGGAGATGCATACTGAACATGAAAACAAACCAATACTGCCTGATGATTGAGGCTACTGAGGGCTAAATAAAGGGAAGGTAATCAAGGTGATGATGAAGTCCAGGTGTGCGTAATAATGGTTGCCAGTGCCGGTGGTTAGTAGACCGGCGACGTCGAGCGCTGGAGAGAGGGAGAGGGAGCGGGAGTAGGCGTGACAGATGTAAACAAATTTGTGCACACAATTTGAGAGAAATACATTTTTGGAACATTTCTGGGATCTTTTATTTCAGCTCATGAAACATGGGATCAACACTTTAAAAGTTGCGTTTACATTTTTGTTCGGAAACATTATAATCTAGGCTACAATCTGTATTATCAAACCAACCTCTCTGATTCATATAACCATTATCCTTCACAGAACCAATATCTGGTGCTATCATAACAACTTCCCCAAATCCTCCAATCATCGAGGGGAATTCTGTCACCTTAACATGTGATGCTTCTGGCTCCATCATCAGCAGAGAGTGGATGGAGGATGGTCAGTTTCTGTCTGCTGGTGGCAACATGATCATCTCTGAGGATAATAGAGTGCTGTCCATAAACCCTGTGAAGAGAACAGACAGTGGAGAATACCTGTGTAGAGTCAGTAACCCCATCAGCACCGCTGATGCTAAACACATTCTCATTGTAAACTGTAAGTAGGTCTACTCTGCTATAAGCCTGGGGTTACAATTACTGTGTTTTAACCTATATTTTTTCTTTTTGCATTTTTAGTTCAAAAATTAACAGCAAAAGGTTATTTGAGGATCCATTAAAAGGAGATCTTTGAAGAACCCTTTTAGAGGGTTCTTCAAAGAATTTATAGGGCTTCCCCCACAGTTTCAATTTGAAGAACCCCTGAAGGATCCTCCAGGAACCTTTTGTTTTTAGAGTGTATATATAACAGTTTGAGTGTGTAACATCACACTGATTACCAAATAATAAACACATGGCTACCTCTAATTGGAATGGTGATCTGTGTTACAGATGGACCTGATGGTATGGAAATCAAGGGTCCAACTGAAATAGAAGTAGGACAGAAGTTTACATTGACCTGCTCTGCTGACTCCAACCCCCCTGCTCGTTACACCTGGATGCTCAATGGAACAGAGATACCTGGACATTCACATGAGTTCACTAAGGAAAATAGTGAATACTCTGACCGTGGGAATTACACCTGTACAGCAACAAATTATGTCACTGTGACCAAAACATCTGTGGTCCTTAAACTGTCAGTAAAAGGTAAAGTTATCAGAAGCTGTAAAAACAATATGAGATAGTTATTAAATGGTTTGATATAAGATGATTTACTCATATATTATTTTATCAATTCAAACTTGTTTTGAAATCATTCCTTTAGTTTTCTTTGTTGTGGTGTCACCCAGATGTAGTATATTGTGGAGTACTGCCTATTCACTGGGTAGCCTCTCTCTCATCTCTGCATCTCTGGTTCTTTCGCCATCTCTGCATCTCTGGTTCTTTCTCTGGTCTCTGCAGTGGAGGACTCTTTATCACCAGGTCTGCCTGCTGGTGCCATCGTTGGGATTGTGATTGGAATATTGCTGGTTGCGGGAGGAGCTGTTGGTGTTGCAGTGTTCTTCATCAGGAAATATGCGTGAGTAAAAAAATATGTTTCAGTCAAACAAGTGTATTTTCTATCACTGCAGTTTGTAGAACATGTTGGCTCAGTTTACACATTGATTAAAACTGGTCACCAACAGGGCCTGGTTGTATTTAAAAAGCACTGTAAACTGTCAAGAGCACTGTAATATTATGTTCTTATTACTTCACTGTGAACTGTCAAAAGCACTGTAATATTATGTTCTTATTACTTCACTGTAAACTGTCAAAAGCATTGTAATATTATGTTCTTATTACTTCACTGTGAACTGTCAAAAGCACTGTAATATTATGTTCTTATTACTTCACTGTAAACTGTCAAAAGCACTGTAATATTATGTTCTAATAACTTTCTAAACAGCAACCTTTCCACGTTTATTTATTGTTGTATATAGAACCAATGCTGAGCCAATGCATCGAGGAGGTACGCATACTGTATCTCTAATCTTACGGGTCGTTATGGCATATCTAATTAATAATGTTTTAAAATGTTTGTGTACTCCACATTTATGTTTAGTGAATTAGCAGAAACTATTATCAAGAGCAACTTACAGTTTCCACAAAATAATTAAATGGATTCAGATAAATTACATGATATAGTACAACACCACTATGACATTGCTTTATAATGTAACAATGCGTATGCAGACAAATGCAAACAAGATATAAGCATTTATACAACCCCTCGATTTGTGTATCTCTTACAGGCTCTCAACAACCTGTATATGAGAACCCATCAGCTTTATGTGAGAACCCACAACCAAATAAATCTCTGCCCAGACCCCTGACAGTAAGTAAGACCTGGTTACCTGGGATGTGTCCGTGCATGTTTGTATTCTACTACAGTCTCACTGTAATAAAGATGACTTTGCTTAACAAGAAATTCAGTATGCGATGACTGTTTACCTATGATAGTGTTATCCAGGAAGTTTCCATTTTTGACTCAATAACAGCCATTTACAATATGCATTAGCGTATGATCACTATAAAGGTTTCTTCAGGACTGTGAGGTTTCATTTTTTTGTCATGGCAACTGTTGTTGTGGCTGTTCCTTCTGTGTAATCTTTTTTAATTTAAGCTTCATCACAAATTAGGAAATGCAGGACTTTAGAAGTACCTATGATACGAAGATAATGGTAAGTTTGAGTTAGACCACACAGCACCATGTGACTACAACACCATCAAAACCATTGATTTATGTGATATTTGTAAAGTGGTCTTCATGTTGTGTCACTGCTGATAAATGGAAGTTAATGTTGCTTTCTGTTCTCGCTTACCTTCAATCTAACAGTAAGAGAAGTCAATGAAAAAGACCTCCATTCAATCACCATTCTCCTGTGAGTTTCACCATCAACACAGAGAAAACCACTATGATAACGCCCAGTGTGGATCTGAAATGTAATGTACATAATCAATACATTTATGTTAATTTGCTTTATTGTGTACTTTTAGTAACACAATAACATGCTGATAAAAAGTAGATAAACAATACTGTACTGTAACTTCATAAATTAAAGTATAATGATAAGGTTGTCCTCTGGAAGTGGTAGGGACTATAGTGTAAATAGTAAATACACTATTTTTGTGTACTGTATTGTCAATTATGGTGCCAAACAGGCACAGAAGCTGGATACTTAAATGCTTTTAATGATGTAAAAAAACAGAATAATAAAGATTTACATCTATTTCTCCATCAACTTTGTTGTTCTTTGTGTCAAGTGTGACCAGTAATATGTTGATATGACCTGATGACATTCAGTTAATTAATTCCTACAAAGCTGGGTGATGGTTCTAAAAGATCCTACAGTGATTTCAGTGTTAGAGAAGGATTATAAAGCGAAGATGTTTATTATATATAATCTCAAATGAATGTAAATTGTGCTTCATTTACTATCAGAAAATACCCCAAGATCAAAGTCCACTGTGTTTATCAGTCAAAGCCTGCAAAGCAATAGAGGGCAACATTGTCGAACAGACTAAGTGAATGTAAAACCGCATACAACTACCTTATTAGAGTTAGTGGAGGTGGAGTTTGTGCTACAAATAGAGAAGTTTGGTCAATTGTTCCTCCATGCAGTGATGTAATTTTTCTTCCTCATATCAGGTGTTACTTTAGAACACTCTTATTGTAGTCTTGACTTCTATAACCTACAGTCTGAATCACAGACTTTTCAAACATCAGAAGATATGAAAGACACTGCAGTAATGTCTCTCACCATTGCAATACTCTCAGGAGAGACTTAAAGGGGAAATCAGCAGTTGAAACAATAACAAAGTGTAATCCCCGCCCCTATTTTGATAAAAAGATGAGGGATGGGACTGGAGAAATGCAACCGGTATCAAACTCATAAAAAGAGCTATGACTGCAAGGACTGACCATCCACGATATCAAAAGTATAGTTTTCATCATATTTTGAGGCTATATAGTGTTTGTTTACGTTTACTTTGTTTACAAACATTGGAGTAAAACAAGATTTTGGGTTCTGATGGGGAACGAAAGTTGAACTAAGCTCATGAGGCATTTATAAGTTATATTCTTAAAGAATCAATAGCTACATATCATGATATTATAGTGCCTTGCAAAAGTATTCATCCCCCTTGGCGTTTTCCTATTTTGTTGCATTACAACCTGTAATTTAAATGGATTTGCATTTGGATTTCATGTAATGGATATACACAAAATAGTCCAAATTGGTGAAGTGAAATGAAAAAAATAACTTGTTTCAAAAAATTCAAAAAAATAAATAATGAAAAAGTAGTGCGTGCATATGTATTCACCCCCTTTGCTATGAAGCCCCTAAATAAGATCTGGTGCAACCAATTACCTTCAGAAGTCACATAATTTGTTAAATAAAGTCCACCTGTGTGCAATCTAAGTGTCACATGATCTCTCACATGATCTCAGTATATATACACCTGTTCTGAAAGGCCCCAGAGTCTGCAACACCACTTAGCAAGGGGCACCACCAAGCAAGCGGCTCCATGAAGACCAAGGAGCTCTCCAAACAGGTCAGCGACAAAGTTGTGGAGAAGTACAGATCAGGGTTGGGTTTTTAAAAAATATCAGAAACTTTGAACATCCCACGGAGCACCATTTAAATCCATTATTAAAAATGGAAAGAATATGGCACCACAACAAACCTGCCAAGAGAGGGCCGCCCACCAAAACTCACGGCCCAGGCAAGGAGAGCATTAATCAGAGAGGCAACAAAGAGACCAAAGATAACCCTAAAGGCGCTGCAAAGCTCCACAGCGGAGATTGGATTATCTGTCCGTAGGACCACTTCAAACCGTACACTCCACAGAGCTTTACGGAAGAGTGGCCAGAAAAAAGCCATTGCTTAACCTCTACGGGATCGGTGTCCCGTATATGGGATGGTTGAGCTAACGTGCGCTAATGTGAATAGCATGACTGTTGTAAGTAACAGCAAACTTTCCAGGACATATATGGGCAGAAAGCTTAAATTATTGTTAATCTATCTGCACTGTCCAATTTACATTTTTGTCATTTAGCAGATGCTCTTATCCAGAGCGACTTACAGTTAGTGAATACATATATATTTTTATATATATATTTTATACTGGCCCCCGATGGGAATCGAACCCACAACGCTGGCGTTGCAAACACCATGCTCTATCAACTGAGCTACATCCCTGCCGGCCATTCCCTCCCCTACCCTGGATGACGCTGGGCCAATTGTGCGCCGCCCATGAGTCTCCCAGTCGCAGCCGGGTGCGACAGAGCCTGGATTCGAACCAGGATCTCTAGTGGCACAGTTAGCACTGCGATGCAGTGCCTTAGACCACTGCGCTACTCAGGAGCTATTACAGTGAAAAAATACCATGCTATTGTTTGAGGAGAGTGCACAACAACAAAAAACTTGTAGCTTAGTTTTGTTTGATAAAATCAATTTTTATATTCAAATGTATGAACTGGGTTCTACAGTTTGAACACCTGCTGTCTCTGGCTTCACCCTCATCCCGCCAGGCCATCTAGATGTGTGAAAGTTAGTGTATAAGCTAATGATCCATCATGTATGACATTCCTGGGAGTGTGTAAATTTACATTTGTATTACCATATAATTTTTGTATGTTCTCTATGGTTATGTATTTGAAAATGTATCAATTGACCAATTCGGCACATTTGGGCAGACTTGACCAAATACTTATTTTCCACCATAATTTGCAAATAACTTCATTAAAAATCCTACAATGTGATTTTCTGTATTTTTTTTCTCATTTTGTCTGTCATAGTTGACGTGTACCTATGATGAAAATTACAGGCCTCTTTCATCTTTTTAAGTGGGAGAACATGCACAATTGGTGGCTGACTAAATACTTTTTTTCCCCACTGTATATGTCTGTGTGCTAAGGTGCGGAGAATCAGAGCAGCTGGTCAGTCCAGTTCAACAGTCCGAATGCTTGTAGATGGATCTTATAACTTATAACCAACCAAATTACTTAACTCAACCAAATTTAAAATGACAATCCTTATTCACTTTATCCTTATCACTGAAAATTAAAACTCTCAACTTAATCACCCATTACAATTTTCAGAATGTCTACTTATATTAACATACATTATAAACATTCATACTTCAATTATGACTTTCCTCATCCTGAAAATAAATACAGATCATTATCTCAATGCATTCTTAATACTATTAATTTAGCAGTGTATATACCTACTACCCAAATTATCAAATTTAGATAAATCCAATTTTATTATCAATACAGCTAAGCAACCCCTTTTTCTCCACCGGCACTTAAATATTCTGGCGTCTCTTCATTATGATCTTCAGACAGCTTCATAGTTCAAAAATGACTTTCCCATTACAAAGTCACAACTACAATGTCTCATTCGATTCACCACCAACTCCATAACCTCATTGTCTACTCCATTTGCCAACCAGTATACCAACAACATGAGCAATGTTGCATTTGAACAGATCTTTCTCCATTCTCACTCAATGGTGGACTCCTTTCCCACTCCTTTAATATAAAACATGAGAAAATCCTTTGATATCTTCGATTGGTTATTGTAGACCAGTTGCATGTAGAAATGGTATTTTACAAAAACGTCTTCAACGCCTCTGATATTCATATTCAGCCGGTTCATATGTTGCTACTTTTATTTATTATATAGGTACACACCATTCTATGCCAAATTATCCCTTATTATGCATCAAGATACCATCTGTATTTACCTCACTAGAAGACAAAAACACAACAGTTTAATTGATTTCATTTCTAAACCAATAAATCCCTATAAACATTTACCTTATGACAAATTATTATGTTTGAACAATTATTCCTAATACCCATTTTTTATATACTTCCCAATTTCTATTATATAAACCCTTTAAATACATATAACCGAATGGAATGACAACCAGTTCATTCCTGAAAATCTGGAAATCTTGAAATTATTGGAGGTCTATAGCTCTGTGCCTCCACTGAGGTAATCAGCCATAACCCACAGCTCATCAGTATCCTTCCTCTGACATCGTCCTCCATCACCTGATAATTGTCATCAACCGTATCCTCATCTCTAGATCAGCAGCTTCCTCGTAGCCATCTGTAGCATTGGTTGACATGATACCTGTTCAATCTCCCCTCTATCCATACCTCCGTTGGTGTAGACTGTGTGATGATGCATGAACGTTCTTCCTTCACTAGTTCTCTGTGGAGTGTGTCCTTCTATCAGCGTACCAATAGTCTCTGCTGCAAAAACACACAGACAAAACAAAACAATGCTCCGCCGAAGCGGTGCCATCTTCCTCCTTTGCGTTAGAAAAGTCCTACAATGGTACATATAGATCTAGGAATCTCTCTCTCTTACTTGCCCCTCCATCAAGGTAGCCATCAACACCTATTACTAACCTTCCCACTTGGGCGTTGTCCATCTCTGACTTCCTTAATCCTTTACCACCACATAGTCTCCAAGTCGCAGAAAATGTACAGATTCTTCTGGTAGGTCTAGCCAAAAATCCTTCATCTTTTGAAAGAAAATCTTCATAAAATTGTTAGTTGAGACACAGCATGCTACTTCATCCTGTCTTCTTATCAGTCCTGATAAGCCTTTTACATTAGGAAGTGCACATTCTTGCAGCTTGTTGCAGTCTACTAATGTCATAGAAAGGCCTCCTATAAATTCTTCCTTCTACCACAAATACATTTTCCCCTAAAACATTTAATCTAACCCATAACACATTAATTACTACTGCTCATATTGTTAATACTATACGCAAATGTACCAATAAATCCTATTACCATCATTACTGTCAAGGGGTGCTGAAGGTGGGTGTGGTGCAG